ACGGGATTTACTCTTCAACGGGGGCATCTACTTTACAAAGGAAGGTTGGTCGTTCCTCCGAAGTCTCCACTAGTTCCCATCTTATTGCGTGAGTTTCATAGTAGTAAGATAGGCGGCTATTCCGGGGTCTTAAAGACGTACAAACGGCTGGCTTTGGAATTTTTCTGGAGAAGAATGCGCAAGGATGTGGAGTCTTTTGTGGTTGCTTGTGCCATTTGTCAGCAACATAAGACGTCCACTTTGTCTTCGGCAGGATTGTTGCAGCCTTTGCCTATACCGAACCGGGTTTGGGATGATATCTCCATGGACTTTATTGAGGGTTTACCGAGATCGGCGGGTTATAATTCCATTTTGGTTGTCGTTGATCGCCTCAGTAAGTACAGTCATTTTATTGGCTTAAAACACCCGTTTTCTGCCCATACAGTGGTCGCTGTTTTTGTCCGCGACATTGTGCGCCTGCATGGGTTTCCACAGAGCATCATCTCTGACCGGGACAAGGTTTTTATGAGCCAATTTTGGAAGGAACTTTTCAGGCTGCAGGGCACTACCTTGTGTTGCAATACGGCGTACCATCCACAAACGGATGGCCAGACGGAGGTCGTAAACCGATGTTTGGAGGCTTATTTACGTTGCTTTGTCTGTGGCCAACCTAGACAGTGGTTTACACATCTTTCGTGGGCGGAGTATTGGTACAATACGAGTTTCCATGTCTCGGCTGCCATGACGTCATTCAAGGCTCTCTATGGGCGAGATCCTCCGCGGTTGGTGCCTTATGAGGCCGGTTCTACAGCCACATTGGAGTTGGAGAGGCAGCTATGCGACTGTGATGCGCTCTTGTCGGAACTGAAGGACCATTTGGGACGCGCCCAACAGACTATGCGTGACCATGCAAACCGGAAGCGTCGTTCCGTGGAGTTTGAGGTAGGGGACATGGTTTATTCGAAGCTTCAGCCGTATCATCACCGAGCGTTGGCGCGAGTGAGGAATGAAAAGCTTGGCCCTTGCTATTATGGGTCGTTTCAGGTCCTGGCTCGAGTTCCAGTGGCATATCGGTTGCTCTTGCCTTCTCACGCTCGGATTCATTCCGTCTTTCATGTGTCCCGCTTGAAGAAGGCATTTGGGCCGATGGATACTCCCCAGTCTTTACCTCCAATGTTATCGGAAGATTTGACGTTGCAGGTGGAACCCGCTCAAGTCTTGGATACTCGTTTTCCTCCTACCACTGGGGCCTTGGAGGTTTTAAGCAAGTGGCGCCACCTTCCGGACTTTGAATCTTCGTGGGAGCCGTTTGAGGTGATTCAGCGCCAGTTTCCAGCTTTCCACCTTGAGGACAAGGTGACATTTTTAGGGGGGGGTAATTGATAAGCCCTAACTCAAGCAAGTGTATGTTAGGAGGAATAAAAGAGTCTAGGCAGGGACAGCTGTCTTTAGTGGCTGTGGTAGTTCGGAATTAGTGGTTTAGTTAGAAATATTAGTATTAGTAGCTTACGGGGGAAGTTTGGGTTGGGGGAGGAAATTGTATAAAAGGGGAAAGAGGAGGGAAAAGGAGGGATCGGGAAATAAATAGAAAGTGAACAAGTCTTGGAACAATTCCAAGCAAGGGAGGAAGCAGACAGTGTATAGTGATTGTTTCAATAAAATCCTTCGTTGATTCTTTCTTCATTCTTACGAATTTTGCAATTAGTCTCTTAATTCTTGTTCAGACAAACCAGAGCTTATCATTGTGCTGGGTCTGAAACAATCTCTCTCCTTGAGTACACCTGTAGGAATCTGTAAGAGTCATAAATGGGTACTGATGTAGATTTGGGCACAGACTCTAGAACTGACATGGATTGGACAGATACGGACTCAATGGACTTGGACATGAACGGATTCAGTGGACTCGACTTGGACAGGAACAAATTGGACAACAGGTATGGATTTGACATTTCGGGAATCTTGGAAATTTTGAGAAGTGGATGACGGTGACGGTGAAAGATCAAGAAAATCAGAGTCTATCTTCCATTGGCAAAGAGTCCCCCTAAAGATAAGACTGTGAAAGATATGTTTTTTTTCAACAAAAGTAACATCTGCAGAAATGTAAAAATTCGTTGAAGGAGGATGATGGCATTTATACCCTTTTGGGTGGATGAATACCCAATGAAGACACACTTAACTGTTCGAGGGTAGAGTTTTCCTCTATTTTGATTGTGAACATGAACAAATGAAGTACATCCAAAGACTCTAGGTATGAGACCATTTGAGGTTCTGAAGTGAGGATAAAATTTTGAAAGAACTTCCATGGGGGTTTTGAAATCCATTTGAAATCCAACATTCTTGAGGGTAATCTATTAATCAAGTATGTAGCTGTATGAATTGCCTCTCCCCGATATGTTTTAGGAACATTCCCATGGAATAACAATGCTCGAGTAGAATTTAGTAAGTGACCATTTTTCCTCTCAGCAATCCCATTTTGTTAGGGTGTGCTTACATAGGATGACACATGAATGATTCCCTCTTTTTGAAAGTAGGGAGACAGAACTTGATTGAAACAGTCTCACGCATTGTCAGAGCATAAATTTTTTATGTTTACCCCAAATTGGTTTTGAATCATTGAATGAAGATCGGGAATGACATTACTCACATCATATTTATGTTTGAGCAAGAATATCCATGTGACTCGAGTACAATCATCAATTAGCGAAACAAACCAACGTGACCCTGTAACGTTTGGAGTTGTAAAAGGTCCTCAAATATCACTGTAAATCAAATCAAATGGATGAGAACTTCTTTTATTACTAGTAGGAAAAGATACACAAGTATGTTTTGCAAACTCACAAACATCACAATGCAAGACTTTAATATCTAATCCATTAAACAAAGATTATGTTTAAGACTCTAGAAGACGGATGACCAAGACGAAAATGATGACGCCAAATGGCTTCTTTATTCGAGGAACTGACTAGTGACAAGGAGATTTCAATTTTGACTCTCTTCAAAGAGCTTGGTGTCTCGAGGTAATAAAACTTGTTCATCTCCTTAGCAAGTCCAATCTTCCTCCCCAAAACCTATTCCTGAAAAACATAGTAAGAAGGATAGAAATTCACATGACACTTTAGATCTTTTGTAATTTTCTGAATTGAGGCAAGGTTGGCAGATAACTTTGGGACATGAAGAACATCTTCGAGGACAAAAAATGGTGTCAAATGAATGTCTCCTAGACCTGCTACTGTGGCAAGAGAACCATTTGCAGTAATAATTTTCCTACTGCTTGGACACGGTTTATAGGTAGGAAAAAGTCATGTAATCAGTGGCTCCTGAATCAATTATCCAAGATTCCTCGAAACTCTTTTCAGAGGCATGTAATCCAAAAGAAAATGGAGACTTACCAGAGAGATCCAATGAGCATGCGCCAAAGGGTTTTTCAAGTGATCCAATCAAACCTCTGAGTTTTTCAATTTCCTCACTATTGAAACCTCCTAACTCCCTTTTGTCACTTTGATTTACCTGCTCTACCAAATGCCTGATACGGTTTCTGCCGTCCACCTCGACCCCATTCTCGGCTTGAAGTGAGTGGCTTCCCATTCAACTTCCAGCAACGCTCCTTGGTGTGCCTTGGTTTCTTGCAATAAGTGCACCACAGATTGTCACGGTTGTCACAATCCTTGTTGTCTCTCCCTGCGGGTTTCTACATGTCCATCTTCCCATTCTCCGTTGTTTGTGGTTGTTCAACTTTACTTACCAAGGCTGATCCTTCTGGAGTTTGAGGCTCAAGCATTACACCTCTTCCGCTTTTCTCTCCCCGAATCAAGGAAATTGTCTCCTCGAGTGAAGGTAACTCCTCTTTGCCGAGAATCTGAACCCTTACTTGATCAAATTCAGGGTTGAGTCTAGCAAGAAAGTCATAAATCCGGTCCTTTGCAATGAACCTCTTCAGAATTCCAGCATCTTCGGCACATCTCATTTCAATAACCTGATAATGGTCAAACTCCTGCCACAGGTTTTGCAGCAAGTTTGCGTACTCCGTCACAGACTTGCTTCCTTGTTTGAGTACCCACCTTGATCTTAATCTTGAACACCTGGGCTGCATCTTGAGCCGTCACAGACTTGCTTCCTTGTTTGAGTACCCACCTTGATCTTAATCTTGAACACCTGGGCTGCATCTTGAGCCTTCAATAAGTCTGTCGGACAGCATCCCAGATTGCCTTTGCCGAAGTCAAGAACATATAGGTGTCACTGATTTCTGGATCCATAGAGTGCCACAGCCATGACATGACCATCGAATCCGCCTCGTTCGCGCTTCAAAGCTTGGGTCTTTTGGTTTTGGTCCAGGTCCAAGGAGATGACTCAATCTTCCTTTTCCCTTCAAATACGTTCGAACAAATTGAGACCACATCAGATAATTTTTTCCATTCAACCTATATGAAGCCCTAACATTCTGTAGATCACCCATAGATGATTGGTTTGAGTTGACTTTGTCGGATTGAACGGATTTTGCTGCATCTTCTACAGTCGACATGAGGCTTCGGAAAGCTGGTTTTAATTGATGGAATAAGGGCAAGAATCGGACTGTTCTTGGCAATGAAGGCCAAAAGAAAAAACAGAACAGAACGATGGCAATTAAGGCCAGAAACACAAACAAACTGCGCCAGCAATGAAGGCGGGAAAAAATGAACGATACCCAGAAAAGAACCTAGGGTTCTGATACCATATTGTGAAAAGTGATAAAGATGAGAGAAAAACTGGATATTCTCATCAACAGGAATGAATACTTTACCGGGAATACAAATCAATATAAAGAATTCTCTAGGGCAAAAAAAGAGGAAACTATCTATGCCTATCAATCCTATGATTCCGGGGTCAAAAACTTGCCTAAAATACATTTACCGAGTCCTATCTATTAGAGATTATACTAGCTGTACAGATTATGCTAGCTGTTCAATTCCACAGATACCAATAGAAAAAGCCATACTTTTTCGTTTTGATCTGATTCACTCATCTCTTAAAATGACTTAATTCAGGTGGTTCCGGAAAATCAACCTGGAGCGCTCTATTCTACCCACTCATTTAAGATTTTGTTCAAGGAAGGGGGTTGTGGTACCTTCGTTCCTCTTTTCTTTAACTTGATTGGTTCTGTCAGACAATATAACCTGCATTATCAACAAGCCAATTCAAGACCGGAGCCCCATGCGGATCCTTTACAAGCAGCACAAACTCCTGTTGATGAGATGATAAGACATGCGTACGTGAATTCTTTTTCTGTGTATATGTGGTTGTCTAGGTTATTAGATGGGTGAGTTGTTTGATTAAATGCTTGTTTCCAATGATGCAGGTATGTTGACCCCAATGATCCAACCAGAATCTTCTTGCAGCAACCTACCCCGGACTCTCAGTTAAGGCGACGCACTTACCAGTCCCGTCCGGCTGAACCCTCTATGTAATGTTGTCCTTCAGTGGTAAATAAAAATACTCGTTGAAGAACCAACGAGAAATATGAAACCATGATGCGTGAAAAAGAGTGCATAAATAATACGCTTGATAGGTTATACGTGGTATATTCAATAAAGTGTGATATCTAGTTGTTGCCCTGTTTGCTTGTAACGACTCCTAAATTCTTTGTTCTATTTATCAATCATCCTCTTGATATGGCGCAACATACAATAAGGCGCCTTTGGCGAAACTTCTACCGTTATTAAAAATCCAGAATTAAAGACAACCATTCATCTAGCAGAATCTACAGCCAATATAGTAGCTCTTCGTTCAGCAATTAAAGATCAACGCGCCTTCAAAGGCTCCATTGACTTGTTATGCAAAATCCAACTTAAAGTACATTAGATACCAAACGGTCCCATATGGAGTAAATATAAGATAGATTGGCTGGTTTATAAGCCCTTGGGTCCACTTTTTTAGCAAAGCTTGTTTTACAATGGTGAGTTCTACTTGGTCGAATATTGTAGGGGTTATGATTCTATGAGCGTTATGATTCTATGAGCGTCTCTATGAGCGTCGCTACGGATGGGGGTCTACCTGATAGAAGGCAAGATCTGTAAAGTTACTTAGCTGGGAAGATTGGTTTCTGTGGATGGCGGTTGCAGAATGTTGTGGAATATTAAGATACCAAAAGTCCCATATGAAATAAACAAAAGAAAAGATCGAACGTGGTGGAATATTAGGAATACCAAAAGTCCCATATGAACTAAGCATAAGAAAAGATCAGTGGTTTTGAAATATCTGAGTCTCCTCTTTTTACAAGCCGATTTTGCTAAGGTGAGTTTTACCTATTAGGTTTGTAATAGATTCCTATTTGAATCAGATTCTCAAAATTTAAGATGGTCACAATTATCATCTTTTTTAAAAGTAATTTGTTTCTTGATCACCGTAAAGGCATAAACCCCAAAGAGCAGCGAAATTGAAAGAGAGCATCAGTGGTTGTATGCTCAAGACATGAGGAGATTACATCTATGGTATAGAGTACCTTAAAATATTTAGACGGAGGATATACCTGAAATTGTCTGTACGTACGTGCTACAAAGTGAACAATGTTGAGAAGGCTAATTAGGTGGAATGGAATGTGCACATTTTGGCCTCTTGCAAGAAGTTATTACAATGTCCCCAGTTTCACAGAGCAAGAAAGAATTTGGAACTTGTGAATGTGTACAAGCATTTTCTCTATGGGAAATCTTTAACATCGGTTAACAAGAACATCTAAATTCACTCTCCTTTGGAGAAGGAATGAACTTGGGTGACTTGTGAAGTTACTCTCGTGCCATTTTTAGAGTCGAGTCGGTTTCACAATTATTTTCTCATCTCCACTTTAGTCCTTGGACGGTCCAACCAACGAGTGGGGCACTTCAACATTATTCAAAGTGTCAAAGGACACTTAATTCCCACCATTCGATTTCCACGTTACATGTTCTTAGTTACCATAACAATATGTCCTAAGCATGTCTATTGCCTAACACCTAGCTTTGTGCTTCTACTTAAATAAATTGATAGTGTCTTTCCTTTTTTCTTTTTTGTTTTTGTTTTTTTTTTTTTAAATCAAAATACATTGTGGAGACAACACAAATTGAAGTATCACTGGTTTCCACCTCCATGTCTTTTCATCTCTCTCATTGCAAATAAGGTGTTGAGTTGGTTACTTCAGGACACCAGCTGGTAGGGAATGATAAATAGGAAGACAATACCATGTGATGTCCAATAGCCCATGTCTCTCAAAAGGCCCCATTATCCAAATGGCTCATTAGTCTTTACCATTCATTTCATGTAAAAGATTTGTTTAGCCTCCATACTTATCAAACACCTATAAATACATTATGAAGTTGGGTTCAGTAGCATCTCAAGTCTTAAGAATCTCAAATCTCAAAGTTCTACTTCCTTTGCGTACCTTCTCTTTTTCTTCCTCTACAGAGTACTCAATCACCCTTTTTACTAAACATGTTTTTAGAACTAGCAAATCATATTTACGAATTTTTCTTAACGAATCTCAAAGTTCTACTTCCTTTGCGTACCTTCTCTTTTTCTTCCTCTACAGAGTACTTAAAAACACAAACAATGGGTTTCCGCTTGCCTGAAGTAGTCAACGGCGCTAAGCAACTTATGAGGAGGTCCTCTTCAGATGTTCCAAAAGGCTATTTGGCAGTTTATGTTGGTGATGAGAGCAAAATGAGGAGGTTTGTAGTCCCTGTATCGTACCTGAATCGTCCCTCCTTCCAAGAGTTGCTGAATCAAGCTGAAGAAGAATTCGGATTTGATCGTCCAATGGGAGGCCTTACAATTCCCTGCAGAGAAGATACCTTCATTGATCTACTTTCTTGCTTGGGCGCCTCATGATGGGGCAGGCACTAATAGATGACAATTGCTAACGAAAATCATTTGTTATGTTTTTATAAGGCAAACAATGCCATTACACAAAAGTCAATTTTTTTCCTTGGGGGCTGAAAACAAACTGTCCCTAAGATTGATACAAATGAATACAATTGCAAATTCTCTTCAATAACTTGTTCCGAGCTTTTATCTTTTTAGATTCTGATGCAAAACTCTCGTAAAATTTCTTGTCCTAAATTCGTTTGTAACAGTGGCAATTGCAATCCTCTCCACTGCAATACATATGATTAGCAGCTCCAAGTTGCAAGTAAAGGAAATGGCTCAAGGAATGATAGTGGTTCATTAGTACTATAATTAAATTTTCCATCTCCCGCGAGTTTATTTCTCGATGAATCAGTTTGAAATTCGAAATTGATGTCATGATGATCACTTGGTTTTTTGTAGTTCTTAACTGTTGCTCTTCAAGGTTTCATGTATGCAAAAAGAAAAATCCACTTGTTCTCTTAGTTTTTGATTATATATCCTGTTAATGTCAATCACATGCCATATACCATCTCTTCTTTTGATCATACTAAGCACCAAATTCTCTCTTTTCTCATTGGTGCTTGCAAGCTAAACAAAATAGGATATTGATCAATAGAATGAAGATCAAGATCATGACCATAAATAACCACTACAAAAGAATTTTCTTTAAACAACACTGGCGTTGGGAATAATTAGTATTACCGACGGTTCCTCGATATCTGGTCAAAGTAAAAAAGATTCTAACCAAAGACCTGACAGGATTCACTCCCAAGTAATCTCAATTTCTGTAACTTCCTTAGAAAGTCACTTTTCTTTTTTCTTTCTAAAGATGTGTGGAAAAACCAGCAATAGCAACATTCATGCAATTAACATTATACTTTCAGAGACTTTCATCTGTCGCATAAATTTTGACTGGATAAAACCAGCCATTTCAGTTAGCAAATCAATGGCCAATATGAAAGTAATACTTCTCTAGAATCTAACCTCTGGGATTCCAAATGATAAGAACAATTAATAATATTCCATTTACTTTAATCCAAAAGGCAGGGAATTAATCAACTTTTATGCTAAATTTGAATGCCGACATAAACAGAATTATTCATGGGGCCTATTGATAAGATTAGGAGGAAAAAAAGAAAAAGAAAAAGTTTTTCTTGATAGCAATTTTAATTATCCGAATAATAAAATAATCGTGAAAAATAATGTCAATCTACAGCTTACATAAAAGACATGGACCCCCAAGACAAGCAAACTTGAAGAAGAAAACTTCAGTGGTCAAATGCTAAGACATGGAGAGATGGCATCCATAATATATATATATATATATATATATGTATATGATATATATACAAAACACACACACACGCATAAGTATACGTACATGTATATTTATTTGTATATGTATATGTATGTAAGTATGCATGCACAGGCCGAGTTCAAATCTTTAAGTATATTATAAAGTGGTCTCAACTAGTGAATAGTGTTTATCAACATTATCACAAAGAGGATTGCATTTTGAAGGCTTAGATGGGGTTGCCTTGCCTCTGCTAGAAGATGTCATGACCAACCAATTCAAGAGAGCTATAAAGAAATTGCAATTTGTAAAATGATGTGTATGGTGCTTAGGCTGACAAGTTTTTTGTACATTCATTAGAATATGTATGTTCATTTTGTTTTTTGTTTTTTGCTTTTTTTCCTAGAAGCAGTGAACTTGGTACTCTTATCAAATTGGTCTAGTGCCATGATTAGGGGCACATTAGTCTGCTGATCATTTCCCTTCTCCCGTTTAGTCCTTGGTCCTTGGATTATACAAGTGGCCCCATTGATCAACTTGAAAGTTTTCATAGTGTTTAGGAAACCAACTAATTAATTCTCATCATTCAATTTTCATGTTACCTGCCATTGAGTTATGCTAACAATGTGACCCAAGTGTCTTTCAAGTTTCAGTTAACAATTTTTCTTTGGAGAAAAATACAAAATGAATTCGTACCACTGGCTTCACCTATATATCTTAATATTTTTCATTGCAAAGAAGGCGTGTTGGTTTTTTCTAGAGACAAGCTGGTAGGACATGATCATTTGTAAAAAAGACAATACCATGTGAATTACCAAAAGTCTATGTCTCTTTGTATGGGACCCATATCTAAATGTCTCTTTAGTATTTGACCATTCATCTTATGCAACAGATTGTTTGGCCTACATGCCTATCAAGTATTCTTCTATAAATACATATTTACAAGGTTGGGTTCAGCAGTATTCAAATCCTCGAATCCTCAAATCTCAAAGCTCAACCTTCCATTCCACACTTTGCTCTTCATTTTTTCTCTCGAGAGAACAAACAAAACAATGGGTTTTCGTTTTCCCCTAGTTGTTAAAGCTAAGAAACTTCTTCAGAGGTCTTTTTCAAATGCAAGCCAATCAGCTTCACCGGTATCCGATGTCCCAAAAGGCTGTTTGGCAATTTATGTCGGGAATGATGAGATCGAAATGAAGAGGTTTGTGATCCCTATGTCATACCTCAACGAACCTTCTTTCCAAGATTTGCTAAGCCTAAGTGAGGAAGAATATGGATTCAATCATCCAATGGGTGCTCTCACAATTCCATGCGGAGAAGAGACCTTTGTTGATCTTATTTCTTACTTGAATGCGTCATGATTTTACATACCGATAGATGACAATTATCACTAACAAAAACAATTGTTGCAACTTTTGTGAGGCAAATATAGATATTGACAATACTGTGTAAATATGTTCCCTTGGGGACTGAAAGGAAAGTGTCCCTAAGAATGATATGAATAGATACTTATTCAATTTTTCTTTAACGCGTTATTTGTTTTGGGATCTTCTTTTTAGACTGTGCTCTAGA